TATAATAAGACAAGAGTTACAACCAATCATTTTTTTATGACCATTGTGTCAAAACTATAGATGCTGGTGGAACTAAATAAGGCCAGTGGAACTGGAGGCTGCCTAAAATTTAATGGCTGCCATATTAAATTTCACCATTTCACCAGCATCTATAGTCTAAAAAGGAAAAAAGGAAACAGCCAATCAGCGAGTTCAAATTTTGTTTACTGGATCAGCCCGAATACAAATAAAACAACGGTAAAAAGCGCAAACAAATGTTTAAACAGACCTTAGTATATTATTAGAAAAAAAATTTTATGTATAAATTGGTATTTTATTCATATATTCCGGCAAGCCAACATGCCAACCTTAAACTCCTATCCCCACGTATTCCTTTTGGGTTTGTATTACGTGCTCGCAAAATTCCGCTCCAACTGTAACATAGTTGAGGTAGTACGTACGTCTGTTCGGTCCAATTTTATAGATGACATAATAAAATTTTGGTCTGGATTCAAAAATAATTACTCATCTAGGTTTATTAACACGAACACATGCACGTATTTGACATTATTTCAATGATAATAAATTCACCTATAATATAACCAATAACAGTGCAGATTACTTAAACTTAATGATATTCCTAAGCTAGAACATACAGTAAAAACATAAAGTAAGTCTATAGAAAATTTATAACCGAATATCAATATTTATTTTATATATGAATGTTACTTCTATTATTATATAAATTTTTACATAAATTTTAAGGAAAGGCAAAGAATAAAAATAATATTCATAATAGTTTAACAAATATTTAGAAAAAATATAATAACTAATCTATAAAAATTGTATGCAAGTACTGAATATATGTGATTGATATAATGTTTAAAATAATCATGTAATATGGAAACTCAGATTAAATAAATATATTTTTTAACCAAGCAATTATTTTACAAAAAGCAAATCAAAAAAAAAACTTTTCCAAATCTTGCTCTTGTTTAAATATATATAATGATATATTTCTAATGTTACAATAATCATTTAATGTACAATCTATATCTAATTATTATCTATTTCTGATGTCAATCTGTTTCTAATGGTAGTTGTATCAATTCTACATTGCATTTCTTAATAATCTAGTTTGATAATACGGCATATGAGTGCGTAAGAGTGAAAACCTGGAAACCGAACATAGTAAATCATCAAATCGGTTTCCAGGTTTTCACTCTTACGCACTCATGTGATTCAACTCTATATTTCTACTAGAAAATGCCGAATTTGGTAATTTCTCATAAATGAATTCACGAAGATAGTTGCGAAATGTTACTGTAAACCTGAATTGAGTATTATTATGAGCTGATATATCGTACAATGCTTGATTCCACTCTTTTAATAGTCGTTTTTTTCTCTTTTTCTTAGTAGATTTTGGAAATATATGATTATAATTATTATCAGAGTCATCAAAAACTTGCATTGGTAATTCAAAGGTCTTTTCTACATTAAATAAATCAGGTAGATAATATTTGAATAATGGTGCTAGGATTTCCTGACTAGTGCATTGAGAGATCATGACTAAATGAGATGGAAGATAAAAATTGCTTGTGTTGCAATAAACTTTATAAATATTGCAAATTGCGTGAAATTCATGTTGATTTATTCCGGGGGGTATGTCTCCATTAGTATTTTGCTGAAGTTGTTTATCTATACCAATACGAGCTTTTAATATGTCTTCAAAACAAAGTTTTGTGTTCTGTGCATCTGAACCAAATGTTTTAATTATCCAATCATAGAAATTTGATGACAATGAAAGTTTTGGGATTTCCGATTCCTTTATTAAATTTTCATTTTTTTTAAGATAATGGTTAAGAACTTTATTGAAAGCAATTTCAGGATTATTTTGAACAAAAACATAAAGAAAATCCCAAACTTGATATTTGTTTGAATTATGATGAGGCTTTAATGATTCTATCAAACAAAGATCCGAAAAATTCTCTCGGGTGTCTTGTTTAATATACATAAATGATTCCATTAATGTTTCACCGATATCTTCTAATCTGTCCTCAAACAAATAAAGGATTTTGATAATAACATTATAATTCAGTTGAAATTTAAGTTCAACTAATTCCATGAGTCGTTCAGTAATAGCCTTAACGTCCGGTCGAACCCATTCAACTGGAGGATTTGGTGGGAAAAGAATAAGAATTGATCCCTGAATTACGAGGTCGTTTACATCATCACAGATTTCATAATAACCGACTTCTTTCCACATTAGAACCAAATCTTTGCAAATTAAGATTGCACGAGCAATAATATTTAACTGTTTATTATTTTCATAACCATCTTTAGACGGATATTCTTCAGGAGTGCAAGTATTTGTGGATTTTTTAGGTCTAGGTGGAAACGGGATAAATTTTTTACAAAGTATTAAGTCTTTAATTGCACTCATATTTTTTTGCAAGATGGCCGGGGCGTCTTTAAACGCGTGTGGACCAGCAGTGAGAAAGTGGAAAAGTTCCATATCATTGCCTTTTATGCAGAGTTTACTTGTTTCAAATTGATTTTGCGCCATCGTTAGAAAATAAGCAAAGACGGATAATTGTATGTCACTAGCCCAAGGTGCGCGTATTTTTTGTTGTAACGATTTTATTCGATTGGGGTCAATTTGTCCAACATTATGAGTAATCTTTAACCCAATTAATGTTGGATCGTAACTTCCATAATGCAAAAGAAGCCTTTGAACGAAATATCTTGAAAGAACTGCGCCCTTAGTAATCAAAGCTTGGGCGGTAGGCAAATCGATAAAAAAGGGACCTAATTTCACAGCGTGAAAAAGAGCATGTGCCTTTCCGTGGTTACTAATAATCCACTCGGCTTTAGCCTCGCTATTGTTGGCTACGTTTCGCCATTCTTTACAAGACAGTATAAGATTTAATGGGTTTTTAATATATCTAAAGATATTAATTTTAATGTTAACAGGTATTTTTCTTTGATCCATATTTTTTACAGTGGGTGTACGTTTGCAGCACTTATATTTAAATAAATTTTTACAGTGGGTGTACGTTTGCAGCTGCAGACACAGCACGTGATATAATTCCCTTAATTCTGCCAAATTTTAATACTAACCTTAAGCCATGCTGTGTCGTTATGGTTAGTGCTGGTCGATTAGCTGCCTTCATAACAATACCCTTAAATAAAACATTTTATTGTTTCTATTTTGGCGCGGTGTGAATGGAAAATTGGCGTCACGGAGATTACGAACGATAACGAATTAATTTTAATATCTATTCATTTTTACTCAACTTATTAACAATGACAAATCTTGTGTAATACTTTTAGAAACGATTTTGTTTCATTGGCGTGACAATATTTGTCACAATTTAGCTGAAACATCTGGGTTACTCCACTGATTGACACTTACTTTTTGATTTGTTAAATGTTACAATGTTTTCAGACAATGATACTACGGAATAATTATACGTACATGAACATATTGACGTTTGTTGATAAGACATCCTACAAGAAAAAGGTCATCTCCGAGATTTATTTGACATATAAATACAAATAAACTGACATTTATTATGCATAAAATTTAATTTAATTTACGTACTAGCTAATGATCTGGCATAGTAAAATAATTTTTTTATATGTTGCACACCGGGTTAAGATCTATCATGTAGTGCCTACAGTTCCTCTAGTTATTTTAATTAGGCCCCTTAAATGAGCAAATTCTGTATTTATGTATAAATAATAGTTTAAAAAAAAACAAAATTGCGATAAAAAAGGAAAATTCCAATTTTATCACAATTGACTATATTCAACTATTCTTACATCGCAGTAAATACATTAGCAGTATCATGAAAATAATTAAACTAAATACAGGTCAAATTTGGTTATGTGGTTGTTGTATTATCGCTACACGTACTATTGTAGGTGCTGGAAAAAGCTGGATACACAGTAATGGCATTCATAAATTTTCAGATTAGTACATGTATGAAAGAAGAATAAAAAGAAAATAATAATTATAGATAATGAAGTAAAAATTAATTGCTAATTTTAGGCAGGCATAACTTCCAGCGCTTGAAAGCAGGTACCAATTTCAAGCACTGCAATATCTTCAAAACGAGTAATTTTTATAATATATGTATATGAAAAAAAGTTGTATTTTCTACCAAAAATCTGAATCCACTATACGTTCTATTAAAACCCAAACTATTAAAAGTCAAGTTATGAACAGGCTGTACTTTATACAAAAATGAATTCAAATCTTTATATAAAGTCGACAAACTCAGACATTATTCAAACAAGCTCAACTCCACTTTATGGAATTAAACCTGGACTTTCATCATCGACAAACTTCACTTTTCGAAATAGTTCAATAGAACCATTTTGGTTTAATACAAGTATCTTAAAGTTCAGGAGTTAGTTACTAAACTAGCAAATTTTTTAAGCTGTGCTCGCGATGATTATTTTCTCATGCCCATTTACTTGAAAGGTAAGTTAACTAATCATAACTATGTACGGATACTAGGAAATAAAGTCCGTAATAGAATTTAATGCTTAAAGAAATGATCAGAGTCAGCTGTGGTTTACTATATTGTATAATATTTGTTAATAGAATGCAAAGGTAACCTAAAAAAACTAGTTGTTTGGGCGTTAGTGATGCGTTTGACAAATACGATAAAAATGAGCATTTAAAGAAATTATTAAAACTTCGGATCAGACTAAAAAGGCTTTATTTATCAATTATGATTAATTGATGACAAGGTATTTCTTTAAAATTTTCGTCAGTCTTTTAAGTATTTTCTTCTTTGGGATTTATTTATTATTTAGATGTTTCAAGATCATGAAAATCATACAAATAGTTAGTTCATGATTTAGGTGCTTCTAGACCATGAAACAATAATGCAAGTAATTAGATAAATCATTAAATTTATGAACAGAAAATCCAAAACTTTCATCCTTAATATTTAAAAATTTCAAATTTACAATATGCAGAATAGTAATAATACAAATTCGTATATATATGTACTACCTGCACATTATCTTTCTTTTTTGTATACAATACGCACAGTATACATAGTACGTATTTATCGCATACAACAAATATATGTTAGGATTTAAGCAGGTATTATCTTGTTTAGTTTTATCAGCTGATAACTTAAATGGATGTTTTATTCATGCTACAGCCTACAAACAATGAATATTAAAATAAACAAAGACCTTGAGCTTGGGAATTTTTAATTGCTTAACTATAATGAAGATACATATTTTTAGGTTCTAACAATTATTATTAAACCTTTTTACGCGTATTTATTTACTGATTTACATGGCATTCTGCACAAATTTCAAAACTTTATGTTTTGCCCATCTCCAAAAAAAGGTAAATTAATAAATAAAAGGTCTTATTTATTAAGAACAACTTATAATGATTGAGACATCCTTTTACATAATCAACCACTATAAACAAAATTAAATTTCAAATCATTAACATTAATAATTCTCATTTTATCTTTACCAAATTATTGACCAATAAACATAGATAAAATTTCTATAGACCAGATTCGAGGGGTTTTTTTAAATTTGAGCTTGCGATTACTTTCAGCAGTAAGTACGTAAACAAGTTGTGGATCTCCTAACGGAATAAGGTAATGATCTACTCCAGAAGGTCAGACATTACGTTTGCGTCTTTCAGCAGTTAGTTTTAAGATGTTAAAAAGTGCTAGAAATTTATTCACATAAAATGGTTTTATTATTTTTTTCAAAAAATCAAGTAATTTGATTAGATCTGCACAGATGCGGGTACGTGAAGAATAAACACTGGTTGTAACCTAAATTTTGAGCAGTTATATTCTTATTAGATCTTAGACTTCATTATTTTTTTTTAGTACTATATTTAGAAAAGCATTTTATCCATTTTTGTTTATAGTTTTTGGTCTTAATTCGAGCTTAACTTTACATTTTTTTTATGCTTCGGTCTCGCTTCGCTCAGTATAACCGACTGTGGGCTATAAAGGCATAAGTAATTTAACCGCTAATCAAAGCTTAAATTCTTTTTAATTACATGCATTATGATGGCGATTTTCAAACATCTGCATTATCTTATTACACGATCAGATTACGATCTAGATTCATAATCATATGTGTATAATTATATTTATAAACAGCCAAATTTCTTCTTCGCAATTTTTAAGGATATGATTATCAATTCATACGCTGATAAAATATTCAGAAAGAAATTCATGCCGTTCAGTCAGGGATTTTACCCAATATATAAATTGATCTGCAATATATTAAAAGACAATTTAAAAACGGTTTTTATTTTTATTATCTAAACATAACAAATCATTTTAAAAAATGCAAAAAGTATTCTATGAACATGTAGTCTAAGAATCCTCCGGAATACATGGGGCTTTAAAAGGCTGTTATGCCAAATAAATACACTGGCGCAAATTTTGCCCAATAGAATTTTCCATTTGCAGTAATTTACATTTGAAAAAATCCGTACAATAACTAACGATATTAAAAGCAAGAATTTTAGATACAAAAATTGGTAATCCGATGTAAATCACATAATTTGTCTATTTACCTAATATTTGGCTGTTTCTTCGTTGGATTTTTGTTGGGTTGATCAAACGATAATCACTGATCGTCAAAGACAATAGTAAAATAATTTTTCAGATAACCAGATAATTTATTATATGATTCCTTGTAAACTTCTGTTGCCCGTTACGGTTAGTGCATATCAAATACTTTACAATTTACTAATGCCATGCTAGATCAACGATTAAATTTTTTGTTTTGTTAGATGTTCAAGTATGATATTCAGCTCTCATTTGATTTTCCATTTAAGTTACTTGGACCAATTTTTAACTACTATATACTTTCGTTCCTGGTTTCTAGTGCAACTGCATCGCGCAGCTACCTTATTGAACCTTGATGATCTGCAATTTGCCCCAAGCATAAAATTACTTAGTAAAAAACACATGAGCACACATGAAAATGCATATTCACATGTGAAAGCCCAAATTGTAATATTTTAAATTAATAAGCTATAAATTTGCTGCAAATAAATTAATAAGCTATAAATTTGCTGCAAAAAAATTTTTATTTAATGATCAACATTGGACATTTGAACATCTGAACTTCTTTGGATTGAACATCAATCCAATATCCAATCATGATTTTTGAACATTAGCAATTAGGTTCAATTAAAATCACCAATCAAAACCATTGGGCCATTAGACATAATAATACTGAGCTAAATGCAATGCCTTAAAAATTTTTCGATAGTAGGACACAAGTTGCTATTGATATTGAGTTTTTTTTTGTTATTTTGTACTTTACTATGCATTTCGCAGCCAGATGCGTCTGGCTTTTTGTTTTGGTTCTTTCTACTTTCAAAGAGATTTTTCTTATTTTTTAGTAAAACTTGTTCATCGCAACTAAATATGCTGTTGTTGCTAATGTTCTGTTATGTAGAAAAGTATTGTTAGTCGAAATTATATTTAGACATTTAGACATTTAGACATTTAGGCATTTAGACATTTAGGCATTTAGACAATTTTGACTTTAAAAAATTACTATTAAAAAATAAATGAAACTTATTTTAGACATTTTTAATTTAGACAAATTTTGATATTGACAAAAATAATTTTGACTAACAACATTAGTAGGCTGTTTATTTGACAATACAATTGCCTGATGGACAGCAGATTTTTGAGGTGAAAAGTTTATGTTTAACCTTTACTCGTAATTATAACTATATCAAATTGCATGTCTCATTAAGTCCAGACAAATGGATTAGACGATAATATAATGGATTTAAAGAGCGTCTAATGGGTTTGATGCATATTCATTAAATCCTTTTTACAGAATAGTGCAAAAAAGACCCTCAATAGATCTAAACAATCACACCCTATTAATTTGTCAGATCAATAAAAAAAATAAAATAAGGGGTTTAGATTAAATTTGGTGACACCATTCAAGGTCTAATAA